CGCACTGCAACTCATTAATAAAATCAGACTAGCTCTAGTCCTATACACTTTCCGTCACAAAGGCCCGAGCATGGCTGGGTATGTTATTTTATTCGCCTTTTCCCGAAGATACCCCCCCTAATAGTAGTTAAACTATGCGCTCATATGAATGTACCCGCCTTCCTCTATCCAAAATAGGCCCGCATTGTAGGGCTTTTTGTGAAAGAAATACTCTGAACCGGAAACTATCAATCCCAAATTCGAGATTTATATAAATAATTCTATGATCCCTCGTGATCGTGATTATGGCACGTCTTATTGTAAAAAATGAGAAACCGTGGGATCACAAAATATTAACAATGAACTCGCGAGCAGACATACGACGCTTCAAGACCGTTTCCAAGTTTAAGCCAATAGGAAATATTCCACATTTTTATTTTAAAATGATTTGATTTGTGTTGTTCAAAATTACCAACCTATTTGAGTTTTTTGAAGAGTCAGTTTAGGCCTGAATGGATGAATTCCTCCATCTCCCTTAATTTTGCCGGTATGGGGGGGAATGGGGCAAGGTGCAGGTGTAAGACTTGCCAGGCACTGTAAAAGGTCAGTGTTCGTGACATTGAGGTATATCTGCAGTATCTGTGGTACGTATGCAGCATATCTTATGTACATCAGAAGGCCTATATGTGGCTTTTTATTGCAACAAAAACTTTGGGGGCTGTTTGGTGAAAGTTCATTCGATTTCTGCTGGTGATCTGGAGTGCCAAAAAAAACTTTGGAGAAAGGGCGTCAATGATATGGTACTGTCAATCACACTCCAAAAGCTGCTCCCATTGGTTGTCCCAAGCTCCCACTCCCCGATCATAGGGTTTCAAGAATGGAAGGTGACAAAATCAGTGTTTGTGGTTAATCACGCCGGTACCTCGGAAGCTAATACGTGATTATTATAAGATTCCAGATTACAAGCGGCAAATAAGACATCAAAGGAAATGTGCCTCCATAAAAATATGACGCTCGTCGGTTACTTATCACTTGTTCCAAGACATCACTGATATCAAATATAGTCCTGTACGGTTTATAACCACCATGCCTGTTCAAACTCGAAAACGGAAAAATTTTGGGAAGTCTGTGCCACTGTTTCCATGCATAACGTGTAGAGAGGACATTAAATCTAGGCAGCATGCAGTGCAAAAGTGTCATTTACCAAATGCTAAAATGTAAAAGTGAACAAACTAAACATTTTCAACAAGTTAATCACGCTCTTGGGGTTGGGTCCGAGTTGACTCAGGGTGGGGCCGAGTTGGTCGTGGGTTCGAGTTAGTATTGGGTCCGAGTTGGTTGTGGGTCCGAGTTGGTCGTGGGTCCGGGTTAGTACCGGAGCGGAGTTGGCATGGGTCCGAGTTGGTATGGGTCCGAGTTGGTATAGGTCCGAGTTGGTTTGGGTCCGAGTTGACTCGAAACCATTCTTGGTTGCACTGCAGTTCCTCCAAAATGCTCCCACTAGTCCTAGTCATGCCTAGTGAAGTTTTAACCGGACATACCAGAGGTGATAAATGTGATGTTACACTTGGGTTGTAGGTCAACTCGACCGTTTACCAACTCGACTCCTGACCAACTCGACCCTCGACCAACTTGACCGTTGAACCAACTCGTCCGTTGACCAACTCAACTTCAAAGTCAAGTCAATTCGACCATTAACCAATTTATTAGACAAACTCTTTCCTTGAAAATAGATATTAAAAGGGGAAAAATAAAGATCGGACCGGTTCTGGTTTGAGAAAATTATGAATGCTAATTTCGGCTCAATAATTTTGGCTCAATGAACCCACAAAATCAACTGAAATGCAATCAATAATTGAACTTGTGCCAATGAGATACTCCAAAATAATGTTCCCAATTTGAGAAGAAGCACGCACGCACGAATCCCCGAAATCTGTCACCACACTATGCGCATGACAGATCACATCACGCACAGTACAACGAATTACATGTGTGATCCAGAACTAGGAAAAATGTGTTCCTTCGATGCCCTGTCCTGGTTGCACTGTTTGCACGGTTGAGTTGGTCGATAGTCAAGTTGGTTGAGAGTTGAGTTGGTTGAGAGTCGAGTTGACTCGAGTCGAGTTGGCAAACTGTCGAGTTGACCTTACACTTACACTCGTCTTTTACTTCCAGATTTTTCCCAGTTTTTGTATTGTTCTCCAGTCTGCCAGTACATGTACTACATTTGGGGTTCATTACTTTTAGGACCCTGTTCCTATTATAAGGGAACAAATGTTACTTTCAGGAAATGACTTATCTAAACAAGTTGTTAGTGATGTCCTCTTTCATATCAGAAAGACAAGAGAACAGGGCTTTTGGTTTTTGAGGGAAATTTTGGGGTAAAATGGCAGCGTACTGCGAAGAGCTGTGAAGGGTGCAGACCACTAATTCAAGTGAGAATTTCTGACCAGCTCATTAGCATTAAAAGTA